CACCCCTCCGCACCCTATTCAGTGCTCTGCGGAGGATCGCCAACTCATCGACGGCGAACTGCAAGAGCTCCTGACGAAAGGAGCGAACAAATCCGCTCCCAGCGAAGGGGGCTTCTTCAGCAATATTTTTCTGGTGAAAAAGAAATCTGGAGATTTCCGACCCGTCATAAATCTGAGGAGGCTCAATGCTTACGTAATGTACAGGCATTTCAAGATGGAAGGCATCCACCTTCTAAGAGACCTCCTTCAAGACAGGGACTGGTTCACGAGACTGGACCTCAAGGACGCATACTTATCAGTACCCGTCCACACCTCCTGCGACAATTCCTCAGGTCTCGGTGGCACGGCCTACCATGGCAGTTCACATGCCTTCCATTCGGCCTCAGCTCAGCCCCATGGTGCTTCACCAAGCTGCTGAAGCCAGTAGTTGCACATCTACGAACACAAGGCATTCGATGCATTATCTACATGGACGACCTGCTTCTGTTTTGCTCAGACAAGTCCAGACTGACTCAACACACACGATACACCATACAATTCCTGACGTCCCTAGGATTTGTGGTGAACTACCAGAAGTCGGCGATATCTCCAGCCCAAACCATACAATGCTTGGGCTTTGAGATAGACTCCATGTCCAGCACTCTGCGACTGCCAGCTTCAAAGATCACGGCCATCAGAAAATAATTACGCAGGGTCATTTGCTGCCACTCCATTCCACTCCGCAGCTTGGCGCGGATCGTAGGCCTATTATCCGCCTCCATCCAGGCAATCTTCCCAGGTCCGCTCCACTACAGGGCGATGCAACGACTGAAAACGTCCTTTCTTCGCCAAAACCCTTCCTGCTACCAAACCATCCCGGTAACGGAGGAGGTTCAAACAGGAACTCACATGGTGGTTGGACAGCATGGAGGCATGGAACGGCCGGGCCATCTTCGGGAGCACACCCGACACAGTCCTGGAATCGGATGCCAGCCTCTGGGGCTGGGGCGCCACTTGCGAAGGCAGGTCGACAGGCGGCACTTGGACTTCACAGGACCTCGACCTTCACATAAATTGTCTGGAACTCCTGGCGGGGTCGTTTGCAATCCGCAGCCTGGCAAGAGACAGGAAGCACTGTTGCATCCTCCTCCGGATAGACAACGTCTCTGCGGTCCGCTACATCAAGCGCTTGGGAGGTGCACGATCCCGACTCCTCTCGGAGATAATGAAACAGATCTTCGACTTATGCCCGCCACGCAATATCTCCCTCATAGCGGAATATCTCCCGGAAGAAACGAGCCTGACTGCGGACTGGTTCTCGCGCCACTGGCGAGACAGCAGCGACAGGAGACTGGACCCACAGATCTTCCAGCGCCTCTCGATCAGGAGAGGTCCCTTCCACCTGGATCTGTTTGCATCACGCAACAACAAACAGACAACCGACTACTTCAGCTGGCTCCCGGACCCGGAGAGCAGGGCAGTGGACGCGTTCCTCCAACCATGGCCAACCAGGGGAGCATATGCCTTTCCCCCGTTCGCCATGATAGCGAGGACGATTCAATGGCGGGGCCAACCCTGGTTCCCGGACCTTCTAGCATCGTCCTCCATGGGGCCCCTTCTCATACCATGCTATCCAACGCTCCTCACGGACCCGAGAGGCAACCCACATCCTCTCAACCTGGAGGACCATCTCACATAGGTGGCTTGGACTCCTTCAGGGGTGCCTGGCACACCAGCGAGTTGTCGCAGGCAGCTAGAGATCTCATATGGGATTCATGGGCTCCAGGAACCAGACGATGTTACCTATCAGCTTGGAATTCCTGGTCTTCTTGGTGCAGTGAATGGAACATCGATCCCTTTACTGCCACTGTAACGGCCATGCTGAACTTTCTTTCCTTTCTTTTTTCCGCGGGTCGTTCTTACCGCTCTCTAAACATTGTGCGCGATTTCGATGGCCCACGTCCCGGTCAGGGGGATCCCCATAGGGAAAGACCCCCTGGTCTGCAGACTTCTGGGGCATTCAACTACAAAGGCCCCCTAAACCCAAATACTCACGCTTATGGGACGTTGACGTTGTCCTACGATTCCTGAGGGACTGGCCGGACAATGGCTCTCAGCTAATATGATTCTCCTGCTCTGCCTAGTCTCGTTCCGCCGGGTATCGGACTTCCGAGCATTCGACATCGACGCCTTTTCAGTCTCCCCAGAGGGCGTTACCTTTCGAGTCGGACGAAATCGGACTCTACGTCGGTCTTCTACCCGTTCTTCCCTTCTGATCCACAGCTCTGCGTGGTTTCTACCCTACGTCGGTATGTGGAAGTCACGTCTCCGCTCCGGGTCTCCTCTTCGGGACAGATTTTGGTGTCTTACATTAGACCACACATACCAGTCTCTGTTACTACCCTAGCCAGGTGGATAAGATGGATTCTATCACTGGCTGGAGTGGAAGAGGTCTTCGGAACCTTCGGAGTCTTCGGCTTTCTCGGCGGGAGCTTCGCTGACTGACATCCTACATTCCGCGGACTGGTCGCGAGAATCTACCTTTCGGACGTTTTACCTCCGCCCGAGCTCGGGAGCAGCCTCATCTCTCCTGCATCAGCGTTAAAAATGCAAAATAGGAAGCCTCCTGTCATGTGGTAAAATTGAAGATTATGCTAGCGTTAGTGTACTTATAATCTTAATTTTAGTAATGACAGGAGGCGAGTATTTTCCCGCCCGTCCCTCCCTTGCGAGGTAAGACTCAAGTAAGTATATTTGCCTCCGCTATCTCCTCTGTCTCTACCTTGATTCAGATTCTGTTTATATTTTCTCGCTCTGGAGATTTATAGTCAGTAGACTTGGGTTGTTTTACTTACGCTGAATCTGCTATCTATCGTTGTAGTCGATAATGTGATATTCCTGTAACTAATCGTGGGTTATTAACATTACTTTAGCCAGTTTACAGACCGGTACCTAACCCATTTCACATTCTCTTTCAGTGTAAATCCGTGGCTTTACAGCTCATTCTCAGGATGGACACCTTTGCAACTTCTCCCATTCCATTTTCGTTTCTTGGGAAGTCGCCCGTTGGCGCATGTTACTGGACTTTGGACTCTATGGAACTCTATTCATGATGTCGCTTTCGAAAGAGGGGGAGGAGCCTCATCACTGTGAATACCGTGCTTCCTATTGCATTTTGATTGGTTAATGTTTCACTTTTCTTTACTGCTGTGTGAGTTAGTAAAGAGAGTTTAATGCAAAATACTCGCCTCCTGTCATTACTAAAATTAAGATTATAAGTACACTAACGCTAGCATAATCTTCAATTTACGAATAGAGTGTGGAATTTGAGGTTTGTTCTCCTATTAGGCTATTTGTTTGCAGCTGTACCCCCTCTGTATGTAGCAATATCTCTTATGAGACTATCAGGGTTATTTACTAAACTGAGAATTATCAGGAATTCTAATGTAAAGAACCACTATAGGCACTCATACCACTTCAGCTCAATGAAGTGGTCTGGGTGCCAGGTCCATCTAGTGTTAACCCTGCCTGCTGTAAACAAAGCAGTTCCAGAGAAACTGCTATGTTTACATTAGGGTTAATCCAGCCTCTAGTGGCTCTTTCATTGACAGTCGCTAGAGGCGATGCGCGCTTCTCACTGTGATTTTCACAGTGAGAAGACACCAGCGTCCATAGCAAAGCATTGAGAGTGTTTTCCTATGGACTAACTGAATGCGCGCGCGTCTCTTGCCGGGCATGCGCATTCGGCGGAAGAGGGAGGAGAGTCCCCAGCGCCGAGGGAGCCTTTAACCCCTTCCTCCCCCTAGAGCCCGGTGGGAGTGGGGCCATGAGGGTGGGGGGGACCTATTAAAACTATAGTGCCAGGAAAACTAGTTTGTTTTCCTGTCACTATAGTGGTCCTTTAAACAAATTTAAGTACATTTAAGTGTCTGAACGGAAATTCTCCAAATCAACTATGCTTCCAGTTTGACTACTCTGACCTTAAATTTGATATTCACTGAGTTCCCGACAATGCTAACTTTAGTAAATGTAAATTAGTTAATCAGCTCCTCATTGAACCCAAAAAACCCAATATATCTTTATGAACTCACTTCCTGTCAACATTCTTTCTTTTTTCTGTTCTTGTTAAAAAAAAAAAAAAAAACCTGGTAAACTTCCTTGAATTCATAGATGCTATCTGTACATTGTATGAGTTTTTGATGGCATAATGTTTTAAAGTGGGGAGGATTATGTGGTATGTGGTCACTTTTGTAAATGTCAAACTAAAAGTTAAAGAAATCAAGATATTGCATCATATGTGTTGCACCTGATCAACCCTAAATGACATTATTATTTACAATGTATCTAAAGCATTGTTTACAGTGCTAATACTACAGCAACAGGCTACAGACACTAGAACCACTACATTAAACTGTAGTGGTTCTGAGGCCTGAAGTGTCCCTTTAAGTGCCATGCAACTGACATTTTTAAATATTGTTTGCCCATTCGTGCAGAGCATTGAATGTAGGAAATGTTGCTGATGATTGGTGAAAGCATGTATTAATTAATTTTCAAAGACGTATTCCTTAAAGGGACACTCCAGATTCCTAAAACACTCTAGCTTACTGATGTGCTTAATGTGCAATGTCCCCTTTTTTCATTTTTAAAAAGTGCAGATATCAACAGAAACTGGAATTTTTATAATTTAATCTTGTGACACTATCTACCAATCAAACAATGTGTCTTGTTACTTCCTTGTTACAATTGCTCACAGTACCTACCTTGGGAAGACTTCCTATTGAGTTGCATTAGCAGGTCTGTGATTGGCCAGCACTGAAAGTCTTCAGAAAAGAGACGTGAAGCATGTGCAAGCTGCTTTTAGATATACCCCCAATGAAAAAAGCACAATTAAATGCATGTATGTTTTCATTCATTATATAGTGATTTTTATTTTTATTTTTTGCTTTTGAACAATGGAGTGTCCCTTTAAAGGAACTCTATAGTCACCAGTACAACTACAGTTTAATGTAGTTATTTTGGCGAGTATAGCCAGTCCTTGCAGGCTTTTTTACATTGTTTACATTGCTCCCTAGGGACACTTCCAGTGGCATTGACTCAGAAGGCCACTAGAGGTGCTTCCTGGGTAAGTACGTTCAACATGATGCTGAACATTCCTCCTATGAAGAGATGCTGATTGTCCCGTGCTGCGTTTGGCTCCTCCCCCACCGCCATCTCTCCTCCTTGACTGAGATCATCAGAAGTGACAATCTTAGCCAATCCAATGCTTATCCATAGGAAAGGATTGGAGTGACTGAGATTGTCAGTTCTGATGATGATAGCCAAGGAGGCGGTGCGCAGTGGAGCAAGCACTGGGGAACCCACGCGACTCTGGAATAAAGGTAAGATTTAACCCTATTTTTGGAGGGCAAGGGCTGCCAAACTAACATGTATTTTTATCATTATATCAACACATTTGTATTCTTGACCCTATAGCATTTCTTTAAAGGACCACTATAAGCACCCAGACCACTTCAGCTACTTCCAGCTCGCGGAGTCCAGCATCTAATATAATCCATATAGGAAAGCATTGAGGGATCCCGGCGCTGGATTAAGGTAAGTGGCGTAAGGTGTTTAAACCCCTTCAGCCCAGCAGGAGGGGGGCCCCGAGGGAGGGGGGTACCTATTAACCCTATAGTGCCAGGAAAACAGATTTGTTTTCCTGGCACTATGGGACCCTTTAAAGGACCACTCTAGGCACCCAGACCACTTCAGCTTAATGAAGTGGTCTGGGTGCCAGGTCCAGCTAGGGTTAACCCATTTTTTTAATAAACATAGCAGTTTCAGAGAAACTGCTATGTTTATGAATGGGTTAAGCCTTCCCCTATTCCCTCTAGTGGCTGTCTCATTGACAGCCACTAGAGGCGCTTGCGTGCTTCTCACTGTGATTTTCACAGTGAGAGCACGCAAGCGTCCATAGGAAAGCATTGTAAATGCTTTCCTATGCGACGAGCTGAATGCGCGCGCAGCTCTTGCCGCGCGTGCGCATTCAGCCCAGGAGGAGGATCGGAGGAGGAGAGGAGGCAGAGAGCTCCCCGCCCAGCGCTGGAAAAAGGTAAGTTTTTAACCCTTTCCCCTTTCCAGAGCCGGGCGGGAGGGGGACCCTGAGGGTGGGGGCACCCTCAGGGCACTATAGTGCCAGGAAAACGAGTATGTTTTCCTGGCACTATAGTGATCCTTTAAGCATATCACCAGCTCTGCAAATAATGCTTTGCAGCAAAACATCCTGGCTATTTAGTTTGCTATCCCATAGCCGCTAATTTCACCCTGTGGTATTTGCTACTTTTGTGCTATTTTGTGTTTGTTAAAGTTACAGAAATTATTTTTTTATGCTTAGCATAAAACTCTAAACCCTATTGGGCTAATGGGATTAGCTGTGTATGGTGGCTGCTATCAAGTAATATTTCTTTTTAATATTAATAATTGCAAAGTTTTAAGGAATAACAGTTTCTATCATTGAAGGAATCACATATTTGGTCTTCCATTTTTTTAGTAGAATCCTCCAGACTATTGTGTATTTTATTTATATCTATATATATATATATTTTCCATTTTCCTAAATAATATACATACATATTAATTTACTATTAAAATGAAATGTATGCATTTTACTAAGAACATCACTTGATAACACTTACTCCATAATACCTTACCCGCACACAACTAATATTGCACATAAACAGGATGCCAGCTACTGTATCTCTTAGTAAAAAAAAGTATCTCCTGCTAGAGAATTGAACCCCATGCCCTATGTGACCTGAATTTGTTTTCATTCACTATCTGAACCAATGTACACTAATTTCTGTGTATTAAGATGGGTATATATTATATTCAAGTACAATATAAGGAGCCAGGGGCACATAAGTTAACACAATCAAAATGGAGGGAGGGGTCACTGATAAATTTCACAAGTAAACCATACCACTGAAAAAAACTAAATAAATATATATGAATATATACACAAAAATATTTAAATGTGGCGATTGCCATATGTATAGTTTACAAATCAGAGAAAAAAATGGTACTTTGGGGGTTATTGAAAGAGCAGCGTTGTTTACCTAAGATGCAGACAACAGTAAAAATCATTGCTCTTGCTCTGTCTGGATTTCCTTATTGACAATGTTGCACTACTATAACTCTTTGTATCAGGGTTATTCATTTTTAACAGGATTATTCACTAAAGTGAAAATTCCTGTGCCACAGACGTTCGGAGAAGCTTGAAGGTTAGCCTCCTGTCCCTGGTTCCAAGAGCCCCTAAAAGAGACCATTGCCACTTTAGAGAGGGATTCTGGGGGGCCCAATACACTTACTGTTCTTTCCAGCCAGACTTGAGGTCCTCTGGGGATGTTTTGACTCATGTCACCCATTGAACACCTGGCCAGGAGATACTCTAAAACCCTCTGGAATTGTTTCTCAGATCAGGACTGTGCCATGGTCTGGTTAATTTTTAAGAGGGTGTTTCTTGGTCAACTGAGCAGCCGCTCCCTCGCCACCCGCATTCACCGACGGCCCAGCAGCCCCACTGGACCGCAGGGAAAAAGAAACTCCATGCCAGCACTCCCAAAGGTAGGGAGGCTGGGTGGAGTGTGTGACAAGACCAATCTCGCCACTGCGCATTGGAGGATCCTGGTTGCCCGCCTGCTGCCTTTAGACTATGGCCCCATGTCGAAACGCTTGATTTTCCCCTGCAAAGACACGAAAGCCATTAGGTGCTTGCCCTGTTTGAGCGGTGATTCCCCAGATAGCTATGCCATGGAGCCCATTCGTATAATGAAAGGCCATGGGAAAGATTTGGCTCCATGGCAATTGAACTGTATGTGTGTGATCTGAGCGCCATTCAGTAATAATGTGCGCTCAGATCTGAGCTATCTGGGGATGAATGTACCTGTTTTATGCAATGGCTGCACAGTTATATATTTTTATGTATTTTATTGTCTTTTGCTGCATGTGTTCATTGGAGTTTTGCCTCTGTCCTTGGAAATAATTGGATTACTTCCCAATTATCTCCAGGATAGAAGACTCTATGGAACTGGTTTTGGGCAGAAAAGCCATGCTTCATTTGGTCACAAAGGACTACGACTGCTAGGAGTGTAAACCTATTTGTATGGTTTTTCCTATTCGGCTGTTTAAAGCATTCGTATGTTTGAGAGCATTCGTATACTTCTCCGGTTCGGTGGATTGGTGTCTACAGTAGCTGCCTGTATATCTGGAAGGGAATATCTCCTAAATGGCTTTTAACCCCTTTTATGCCTGGGGGTGCCGTTACAATTGGTGGCAAGCGGCGGGATCATTCCCAAAGTCCAGAAGGACAGCTACAAGGAAACACCATTCCCTGGATTTACAAATTGAGGGCAATGCATGCATAGGCGTGCGCAGCCTATTGCATTAGGGTGTGCACCCTAAAGCACAAACACCCGCCGTGTGTGTGTGTGTGTGTGTGTATGTATGTATATATATATATATATATATATATACATACATACACACACACACAAACACATACACTGCTGTGTGTGCTGTTAGTGTGATGTGTGTGAGGGTGCTGTTGGTGTGATGTGAGGGTATTTTTGTGTGTGTGTGTGTGTGTGTGTTTGTGACTGTGCTGTTTGTGTGTGAGGGTGTTTGTGTGTGTATGTCCTGTGAGGGTGCTGTTTGTGTGAGTGTCGTGTATTTGTGAGGGTGCTGTTTGTGTGTGTGTTTGTGAGGGTGCTGTTAGTGTGCTGTGTGTGAGGGTGTTGTGTTTTTTAGCAGTGCTGTGTGTGTTTGTGAGGTGCGAAAGAGGTACTGTGTGTGTGTGAGCTGTATGTGTGTAGTGTTGCATGTGTGTGTGCTGTATGTTTGGAGGACGGCAGATTAAAATCCAAGCTGCCATGTGCCATCCCTGGTGGTCCAGTGGAGAGTGAACTCTAGCCTGTGGGCTAGACTGCTGGTGATTCGAGCTACAGCCAGCAGCAACGCCAGATATCGCTTAGAGGAACCTGGCTGTTTTCTCTTCTGTCTAGAGCCTCCTGGTCCCTCCCCTGCCTCCCTCCATAGCTGTTGTGGGGTCAGGTGAGGTAGATCTTTGGTCTCCTCACCGCCCATGGAGGTGCTTAGAGCAGACGCACCTCAGATACGCCGTGTGTGTGTGTGTATATATATATATATATTTATATATATATGCGTACACACACACACTCACAGACACACACACACATACACTCACAGACACACACAGACACACTCACACACACATTCACAGACACACACACACACACTCACAGACACACACACACAGACACACTCACACACATTCACAGACACACACACAGACACACACTCACAGACACACACTCATACACAGACACACAAACACACACACACTCAGACACACACACACACACTCAGACACACACACACTCACAGACACACACACAGACACACACTCACACAGAGACACACACTCACACACAGACACACACTCACACACAGACACACAAACACACACTCACAGACACACACACACTCACACACACAAGAACAAATTATTATATTTTAATAAAAAACAATGTCCACCCAGCCTCCTACCTGGAGTGCTGGTGGACTTGTCCCTGGGGTCCAGTGGGGGCAGGCGCCTTTCTCCAGCTGAGCCGCGGCGAGGGAGCTCTCTGCTGTGTGCTCTCAGCTCCCTCTCGCCGCGCGGGCTGTCCGCTGTAGCTGGGAGCCGGAATATGACGTCATATTCCGGCTCCCGGCATCAGCGCGCGGCGAGAGGGAGCAGAGAGCACACAGCAGAGAGCTCCCTCGCCGCGGCTCAGCTGGAGGGGGAGGGGGGGAATCCATCACCTCTTGTCCCCCCATGACAGGGGCAAGAGGTGAGTGGGGCGCTGAGTGCCTGCAGGAACAGCGTTCCTGCTCAAAAAAAGTGCAGGAACGCTGTTCCTGCAGGACTCAAACCATAGGCGTGCCACGGGGATTAGGGTGTGCCCAGGCACACCCGGCACACCCCGTGCGCACGCCTATGAATGCATGTCTGAGTACAGCGACACTGACAGCAGCAGGATGGAACCAGCAGTTTTATACGATGAGGGTGTCATGGACGATCGAGATGCAGTCCGCAAAGGCATCTGGTACCAGGCACTGGATAATATACAGCACCAGCGGGGCGAGGGACTCCCCAGTGAGGAGCAGCGCAGCAGACACGAGTGGCACTGCGGATGCCCCTCCTGGGAGAGCAGCCCCTGGAGTAGTGGATAAAGGAACTGGGTATGGCAGGAGCTGTGGCTGGAAAATGCCTACCAGGCACTCTGGTGGTATGCAGCGCAGTATATACCCTGGACAGCCGAGCATGACATGCCAGAGGGAGAGGAGTTTGATGGCCCTGGTTTGTTATGGGAGTCTTTTTCGGAGCCTGATTTTAGGAGCTCTACACAAACCCGGTTCCATGACATTTTTGAGTGGAGGGAGAGTATGTACGACTTGGATGACCCTCACGAGGTGGAGCAAGACCTGGTGTTGAATGGCAGCAGACACGAGTGGCACTGCGGATGCCCCTCCTGGGAGAGCAGCCCCTGGAGGAGTGGATAAAGGAACTGGAGCACAGGGTATGGCAAGAGCTGTGGCTGGAAAATGCCTACCAGGCACCCTGGTGGTATGCAGCGCAGTATATACCCTTGAGAGCCGAGCATGACATGCCAGAGGGAGAGGAGTTTGATGGCCCTGGTTTGTTATGGGAGTCTTTTTCGAAGCCTGATTTTAGGAGCTCTACACAAACCCGGTTCCGTGACATTTTTGAGTGGAGGGAGAGTATGTACGACTTGGATGACCCTCACGATGTGGAGCAAGACCTGGTGTTCAATGGAGTTTTGCCTCTGTCCTTGGAGATAATTGGATTACTTCCCAATTATCTCCAGGATAGAAGACTCTATGGAACTGGTTTTGGGCAGAAAATCCATGCTTCATTTGGTCACAAAGGACTACGATCTATCTTTTGAACCACTGGACCAATCTGTATGATTTTGATGTATGTTTGTATTTGGAGTATGCTGATTCTGAAAATTTTATTTGGATGTGATGCATACTTTTAAAATTATGAATAATGTGAAAAAACTGTATTTCTCTGCCTGTGATAATTACATTACCCATTGTGTAAGGTAATTGTATCACAGGCAGAGGGGAAGATTTTGTGTGGGAGTGTCTGAGTGTATTGTACGTGTTTATTGGCTGTTTTCCAAAACCCTGTGGGTGGTAACAATGTAAGAATGTGTATATAAGAACAATAAACCCACAGCCTGTCTGTTCCTGCTTGACCTCACAAAACACAGCTTTGTCTCATCTTGGGGACTCTGTATGCTGTTCCAGTTCAACCACAAGCTAGGAGGTAAAGGACCACAGGTATGACCACAGGGGAGGAGGGGGGGAGTAAGGACCACACCAGGAAGGGGGAAAGTATGAGGGAGGGAGGTAAGGACCACAGTGGGAGGAGAGGTAAGGACCACCAGGGAAGGGGTGGTAAGGACCACCAGGGAAGGGGGGTAGGTAAGGACCACCAGGGAAGGGGTGGTAAGGACCACCAGGGAAGGGGGGTAGGTAAGGACCACCAGGTGAGGGGGGGGTAAGGACAGGAGGGGGTGTAAGGACCACTGGGGGAGGAGTGGGGGAGGTCCACTGAGGGGTTTGGGAGAGGGAGGACCACTAAGGGGGGGAAAGTAGGGAGGACCACTAAGGAGAGGGGACGAGGGTAAGGACCACCAAGGAGAAAGAGGATAATGACCACTGAAGGAGGGGGGAGATTACCACTAAGGGGGTGGGGGTAGGAGGGGAATGTCTACTAAGGGGTTTGGGAGAGGGAGGACCACTAAGGGGGAGAGGGGGGAGTGAGACCACCAAGTGGGGACTACAGGGGGCCAAGGGAGAGCACTAAGGGACAGGAGGGAAGGGGAAATTAATAATTGACAGGAGGGTGAGCACTATGCAAAAAATTTAAAAAATAAAGAGCTGCTCCCCTCTCAGTCCCTATCCTACCCCCCAAACCCTCTCTTTTACACTACACACATACACAATGCATCCTCCCCACACACACACAGAAACATACAATGCATTCCTACTCACACACAGACACACCCAAAACACACAATGCATCACACAAACTCATTCTCTTACACACAGAAACAAAATGCATCTCTTACACAATCAATGCACCCCTTACACACACACACACACCCAGAAACATACAATGCATTCCTTACACGCAAACACACACTGCATCCCCTATAAACACACTACATCCCTTACAGAAATTGGTATCCCTATACAGTACATTCTATAAGAACACACACACACACGTTGCATCCTCTACAATAACACATAAAACAACCCCCTACACACATACACTCCACGGGTGGCCATGTAGGTGGATTTATGGGTGGGCATACTCACGGTCAAGCCCTGGGGGCCCAGACCTTGAGCTGTGTAAGGGGCCCTAAAAAATGGAGCTGCTTCCTGTTTGTTAATTGTTGTGAGCACTGTTAAAAACAGTCTCCAGATAGCCTCTTCTACACCAGACCTGTGGAGCCAGACAGAGCCCATCATCAGCCTCTTGTCCTCATCTGGTGGTAAGTAGGCAATCCAATATATTATTAGTGGCACTAATCTCAAATTTACCTCACATTAAATGGATACTATAGTCACCAGAAGCACTACAGCATAATGTAGTGGTTCTGGTGTCTATAGCCTGTGCCTGTAGGCTTTTTAATGTAAACACACTGTCTTTTCAGATAAAAGACACTTTGTGAAGACTGGCGTTGGCCCATATGGCAGAGCATATGGGCGGGGCATTGTGATGTCACATGGTGGGCAGGACATATGGGGGGGGCGGCAAATTTTTTTTGCCTAGGGTGGCAAAAATCCTTGCACCGGCCCTGTCTGACTGTCTGGATGGCATGGTGAGAACCATGACAGTGACAGAAGACAGCTAGATAAATTCTAGAGTGTATAGGGATATAGTGTCTGCTCAGAGTTAGCCAAATTCAGTGAAGTGTATTGGATAGCACTTCATTTTACACATGGACAATGAACCAAAACATACTGCGAAAGCAACCCAGGAGTTTTTAAGTCAAAGAATTGTAGATTATGCTATCTTAATTTTAGTAATGACAGGAGAAAATATTTTGCATAACTCTCTTTACTGAAAACTCCAGCAGCACAGATCATAAATAGAACAACCAATCAAAAAACAACTACACATTCCACAAAAGGCCCTGCCAGTCTAAGCTTATCCACTTTCTTTGTAGCGACAGTAATAACAATATAGTCAGAAATAGTTAAAAGAAGGGTGAGAAAATATTCGCCTCCTGTCATTACTTAAGTTAAGATTAAGATAAAATAGGTACACTACGTTAGCGTAATCTACAATTTTACCACATGACAGGAGGCTTCATATTTTAAATTTTTAATGCTGAGAATTTATAATAGTAAAAGAAGCATGAGAAGAATGTCTATCGTAAAAAAAAACCCACACAA